AGATTTGCACTGGAGTCCTCCAAAAAATTCAAAATTAGGTAAGAGTGGACGAGAAAATTCAAAATCCCAATAGTTTCACATCAACCATATATCACCTTTCCCCATCAATTCACACAATGCAGGGAGTCTTCCTGAAAAAGAAATTAAGAAAAGGAAAATACATAAATTTGTGAATTGGTATCCATTTTTCTCAGAAAAAATAAGAATAAAGTTTCAGATCTCTTTGGGTCAACCTGTTCAAGTTATGCCAGTGCTTTAAAATTTAATCAATATTTAAACAACAACTACTACTCAGCCATAAGAAATGACGAAATCCAGCCATTTGTGACAACATGGATGGACCTTGAGGGTATTATGCGGAGTGAAATAAGTCAGAGGGAGAAACTCAAATACCATATGACCTCACTCATAAGTAGAAGATAAAAACGACAAAAAAACCCCCCCAAAAACACATAGCATTGGAGATTGGACTGGTGGTTACCATTGGGGAAGGGGGAGGGGGGAGGGCAAAAGGGGTGATTAGGGTCACATGTGAGGGGATGCACTATAATTATTGTTCGGGTGGTGAACATGATGTAATGTATCCAGAATTTGAAATATGATGTACATCCGAAAAAAATAAAAGTTAAAAAATAAATAAATAAAATAAAATTTAATTGAGGGTGAGAGAAAAAAAAAACAGAAAAAAAAAAAAAAACGTGAGAGAGTTAAATAGTTAATGAAGTATTCCCACCGCTCAAAAATTAATTAAATATTCCTTCCTCTTTTCATGTATTATAAATTCAAGATAACTGATACCTTATATTTCTAAATCAATGTATCTCTGCAATCGTTTAAGTATACAGGATGAATATTACATTTTGAATGACCATGTTCCAATTTTCCATCTTCATAGTATTAGGTTTGTTCCTCTTTTATGAGATTTCTTACAATTGTACTGAATCCTAGGGCATTTTAGACATGTTTTATTTTCTTTTCTAACTGATGATCCCCAGTCTCCATGGAAAACCCATGTGACAGGGTTTCACATGGGATATGTGCCAGGCTCAGAACCCATTTTATGCTCATTGAAATGAAGAAATGCCCTAAGGTCAACATAAGTGGTTGAATAACAAATTGTTTTCTAAACACCATAATGGTCTTCCACAACAAATATGGATCTCTAGCATGAGGATTTGCATTATTCACACTTGTCTCAATCTCTTCTCCAGTTGCACCACAGAATAAACAGGTTACCCATGGGAAGCTAAATACCCTTTAGAAGTCCAGAGAAAGGAAGCAGAGAAACCCCAGTCGCTCAAGAGTCCTCCTTAGTGATGCTGCTCTCACCAGGAAACAACAAGCCTTCCCTTCCATAGCTCAAAGACTCAGGATAGATTATTATGATTTAACTTATAGGGAAGGCTGCTTGATAACTGCATGGAAAGAATGGCAGCCTGAGGAACTATCCCATCATTCAGTCTATCAAGTAGTTTCAAATACCTAATTTATGTCTCTAGTCTACAGAAAAGTTATATATATGGGAAACTAAAGTAAGCATTAACAACATGTAGGAATTGGTGATAAGGGAGCTTCATCTGCAAAAATTCTGAAAATTCTCCCTTTTAAGTATTTAAAACTTGGCAAAGGAATCTCCTTTGTCAGCTTCTAGCCCTAGAATAAATCAACAATACTGCGATGGGTATCCATTCAAGGAATGATATAAACCTTCTGGAAAGTCAGGCTGGAAAATGGACTTTGTTGTAAAAGTCTATTTGCATCAGGCACTTGCACTTGTATCCCCTTATTTACCTAAACTGTTCCTTGAATTTCTTTGTGGCTTTGGATTATTGGCTTATTCTTACTGACCCTCCAACCTACTCACCCACCTCCTTCACTGCCCAGCTTTCTACTTTGTTTTGGGGTTTTTTTAAAAATGTTTTATCTTTTATTTTATTTTTTTATTGCTGTAACATTGGATTATAAAATTATACAGCTTTCAGGTGTACATCGTAATATATTTTGAATTCTGTGTAGATTACATCATGTTCACAACCCAAAAACTGATTATAGGCCATCACCACACGTGTGAGCCTAATCCCCCCTTTCGCCCTCCCCCTTCCCCTGTGGTAACCACCAATCCACTCTCTGTTGCTATGTGTTTGTTTGTTGTTGTTGTTACCTTCTACTTATGAGTGAGATCGTATGGTATTTGACTTTCTCCCTCTGACATTTCACTTAGCATAATACCCTCAAGGTCCATCCATGGTGTCACAAATGGCCGGATTTCATCATTTCTTATGGCTAGTATTCCATTGTGTATATATACCACATCTTCTTTATCCTTTCATCCCTTGATGGGCGCTTAGGTTGCTTCCATGGCTATTGTGAATAATGTTGCAATGAACATAGGGGTGCATGTATGAAGGAGATCTGGCCTAAGAACATGGATGTGCTTGCATACGGGACATTTCATGGAGCTGACTTGTGGCTGAGCTTGCTTGCAAACAGGATGTTCTGCCCAGTCCTCTTATGGCCCTTCTGGGGAGAACATTGCCTGCAAACAGGAGTGTTCTCAGATCCTGGAATTCAGCCTAGGGATAAAAAGCATACACAGCAGTGTAAGCACGTGAGCGCGCTTGCTTAGAAGCATGTATGCTGAGTCATTGCCTTTGGCTAGTTGCCTGCTTTGTCTAGGGGGATATAAAAATAAACAGCCCGTGGAAGGCGGGGCTTTTTTTCTCCACTATCGACACCGGTGTCTGTCTCCTTCTTATGGGCCCCAACTTTCTTCATTTCGTCAGCAACACATGTAACTTTATGCATTTGTGTTTTGAAGTTCTTTGGATAAATACTCAGCAGTGGAATAGCTAGATCATACGGTAGGTCTATTCTTAATTTTCTGAGGATACTCCATACTGCTCTCCATAGTGACTGCACCAGTTTGCACTCCCACCAGCAGTGTACCAGGGTTCCCTTCTCTACACATCATCTCCAACACTTGTTGAATCTTGTCTTGTTAATTATAGACATTCTGACCACAGCGAGGTGATCTCTCATTGTACTTTTGATTTGCATTTCATTGATAGCTAACGATGTTGAGCATCTTTTCATATGTCTATTGGCCATCCATATATCTTCTTTGGAGGAATCTCTGTTCAGATCTTTTGCCCATTTTTTAATTGGGTTGATGGTTTTTTTGTGAGATGTATGAGTTATTTGGATATTTTGGATATTAAACCCTTATCTGATATATGGTTTGCAAATATCTTCTGCAATTGTTAGGTTGTCTTTTCCTTTTGTTGATGGTTTCCTTGCTACTTTGATTGTTTTCCATTTTATTCCTGTTTTGCTTCACATTACTGTGCATGCACTTACTATGGAATCTCATCTAAGAGGTTATTTTTTATGACTTGTGATTCCTGATTAATTTTTAGCAGATTAATCTTAGAAATTTTGATAGTTCAATTGTTGTTTATTTAGTCTTTTATTGTGGGCAGACCTACGCACTCTCTCACCACACTTACCAACCAGTTTTCTTCTTTGATGTTTGCCATTTGATATCTTGTTTTCCTCAGTATTACTTTTCATCTGCTTGCTCTGGAATCTCGTCTAAGAGTTTATTTCCTATGACCTGTGATTCTTGATTAGTTTTTAGCAGATTTGTTTTTGAGATTTCAATCTTTGGTTTTATTCTCCAAACCACTGCCTCCTGTACCCTCATACATTGCACATATTGTCAAAGGTTGCAGTTTTAAAACCCAGACCTTTATTTCCTCTGTAATCTTGAATTAACCTTACATACCTCTTGTCCATTGAAAATAATTATTACTTTTATACAAAGTATAGTTAAGTTCCATTTGAAAGGGATTTTTTTCTGGATTTCAAAATATTTGCCATAGTGCCCAAAAAAAGATGCTTTATATATGTGAGTAAATGGTGATGAGGGAGCATCCCTCTGGCAAAGCTAAGTTTAGATGGTTGAAAGATATGTACTGGCAATGGAAAATGTCTGTTAAATAGGCCACCTAGATCAAGAAAAACTAACTTTCTTGATCTTCTATGTTGTAGTATACTTGGTGCTTAGCAATTTCACTTAAGTTTTGTGTGGATTTTTGAAATCACAGTGTCTCTCTTTTCTTTCATTTAATGTAATACACCAAGGAGTTAGGTCCTGGGGCCAGACTTCTGTGTTATCATCCCATTCCCATCATTTCTTCCCCACAAGAAATTGGGTAAGTTATCTGAACATTCTGTACTTCAGTTTTCACATTTGTAAAGTGAGGATAATAATGGTACCTACAAAAGGAATTTCTATGAGTGTCTTCTGTGAGTCAATAAATATAAAGGATGTAGTAGATTTCCTGGACCAGAGTAAATTCTCAATAAATGTTGACTAATTTACTTCTGCCTCCTGGAAACAAAAATCATAGCAGAAGCTCAATAAATATTTGTTATTTAATAAATGTGTTCACAGAATCAAGATTAGATGCCATTCATATATGAAAAATATACTAGCCCCTCATATTTTTCTTTACTTTTGAAAGTAAGGGGCAGTAGTAATTGTGGAACAAGAAAATAGACATTGATAACTCCAAAGTAACTCGCAAAGATTTAGGTTCACTTAGCAGACAACTTTTAATCCATTGAGAAGGAAGGAGTAATACTAGATAATAGTCAGGGACAACTCATCCGTAACTAAGGATTTTCCTCTTATTAGAGATATCACATGATTAGACCAAAGAGACAATTTGGATGTAATAATAGAAAAACTGAATTTAGAAGACAGATATCAGAGGCATTGGTTCTGAAAGCTGAAAGGAACCTAACTATGAGCTCATAGAAATATTTAATTATAAAGACAAGCAAATATACAGCTTACACAGGTAAGTATACTTTCTTACACATAAAGCAACCTTTCCACTAGAACCAGATTGGCAAAATATATTTCCTTATGGCTGACTTTCTCTTGAGTTTTAAATATATTTAATGAAGTTTCTTACTGTAGTATATTAAAAATGGCTATGTATTCTTTGCAACTTCTTCTATCAAGAGGTGGAGACTAATTTTCCATCTGTTGACTTTGGACTTGCCTCATGACCTTTTTCGCCAGTGGAAGGTGGGAAGGAGGCATTCATGTTCTATGTCTAGAGCATTCATGCAAGCTGTTCTGGGATTCTGCTGTCCTCTGAAATAGCACAAGCTTGCCTATTGGAGAGGCTACATGAAGGAGACAAACTGTCCAGCTACTCTGCCAAACACTAGCCATGTGAGTGACACTTTCTTGGACCATTCTGCTCCATCTAAGGTGATAGCCACCCATAGCCTGATGAGTGAGCCAAAGCAAGGCCCAAAGAAGCAACAGTTCACTGAGCTCAACACAAAGTGTTGGTCCACCAGATCATGAGGAAGTAATATGGTTGTTCTTTTAAACTCTGAGCTTTAGGATGGTTTATTACACAGCAAAAAATAACAGAGACATTATGATTTATGAAAAAAGTTGGACATGTGTAGCTCTGTAAATACAGAAGCCCTAAGAATATTAATATGGTAGACCAAAGTAAAATGGAGTTATAGCTCCAGTGCCACAGAATTTGAGAATAATTTCTATAAATTTTTTGAAAGATTGGTAGATTTTGACAAAAAAATTATCTTTTGTCTATTTTTACAGTAAATCTAAGAGAATATAAATACTCTTTAATTTTGTGTATGTGTATACATATATATGTGTATATATATACATATACATGCATATATAAACATATACTTACGTATATGTATATACACATATGGTGTATATGATGAAAACCACTGATTTACCTAATACCTCACTGTAAAATTTATCCCACTTCTTCTCGTTAAAGGTCTCAAACGCAAAGTCAAAGTATAGGAAATACGACACATTTACCACCATCTCTATAAATGTCATTTTGACACTCAGGTCGGATGTGACAACAGTTACATAGGAAAAAGGTAATGTAAGCCCTCCACAGAGTTTTTTGTATGTATTGCTGGTGGTAAATCAAAGACTGCAGAGCGAAGTAGGTTAAGTATTTCAGACAGCAGCTCACCACAAGGAGAAAAACATTAACAAGAAAAACATTAAATTTGGATTCTTGCAGTTCTTTCATTAGTTTCTTTTTCAAAACTGCATCCTCCTAGAGCTTTTGAATAGATCAGAAATTCATAATATATTTTTTGCATCTTTGAATCATATGTCCACAACGTGTTCTTTGGTAACTCATATGACCACATCTCAATCCATTTCATGAAAAGCAAATCAAGTTCATCAGTAAAGGATGTAGGATAAACCTCAAATTTAAAAGCAAATTGTTTGTTGGGATCCACAATGTTGGATGCTGAAGATACCAGAACAGTCACCTCATGGCCCTTCTAAGCAAGTTGTCCAGCATAATTTTTCAATTCATCCAATGTTTGTATTCCATTGGCTACACGAGCACCTGTCCACAGAACTCACAGCTCAAATAACAATACAGTGCAAGAAGAGAGGCCCATTTCTTAGACATCCTGGTAAAATTCAATCTCTCTATAAACTTCTTTTAAATTTGATGTGGCTCTCATTTATATCCAGGAAAGAATAACTTAAGTAGTTAAAATATAACTGGCACATATCAAGTTCACAATGATTAAAAGAGCTCAAAGCACTGGTTTTGGAAAGCAAATAAAGTAAATGATCTTGTGCTTGTATATGCTTATAATAAATCCCAGGATCATTATAAACAATATTGCCTCTAGGCTAAGAGGACATTACCTTTCATGTAGGGAGTCTCCTGTTAAGAAAGTAGTATTGTGTCAACACAAATATATTCTGATTTATTTGAGCATTTCCAGGCAGGCTTTCTAAATTTCCTCCTCCATGTATTCACATCTGTTATGTTAGCTCCATTTACTTTCTCTTGCCTTTGTTTTTCTGACTGTAGATACTCCCTCTGTTTTTTTTCATTTATATCCAAATGTGGGTGACTGTTGAATACCACTTTACTTTCTTTCTTTTATTTGAAAAAATTGCCTTTAAATTATTAATTTTTTATTTTCTAAACATTTGCAATATTCCTTATGTTACTCTTCCATCCTAAGTACTTACTCTTAGAAGTCATTTATCTTCTAAGTACCATCCTTTGAACTTTATTTTTAAGATTGCCTTTGTAATCCACGTAAATTGTATTTAGGAAAAAAATCCTACCAAGAATGCCCATCAAATTAGAAGTAGGAAGGGAAAGATGCATGTTACGGGATAGAATTTATACAATTAATAATTGTATTAATTATATAATAATTTATTAATTTCATGCTGTTAATAATCTGTTGACCTGAAATGAGAGGTGGATCTCTCTGAAAACGAATTTGAACATCGATTCTAAGCAAATTCAAATATTTCAGAATTGAAATATCCTTCGATCTTGGTAATGCCTTTTGGTGGATGTTTTGATGTGTTACCCAGATTGTCCTCTTGGCAATGTAGAAATTATTCCCCAGCTGATCTGAAGATTATCAGCTGGCACCCCTCTTCTACCTGCTTTCTTTGAGGGCTGCCTATGCTGAAGAGAACTATCTAGTCTAAAGTGATGTCTCCTTCCCAGGGAAGCCCATATCCAATGCCTGGTCTCCTCATTTCAATTTGGGCCAACTCTTAAAGGTGATGTTAGCTTCAGAGCTCTCAGTGGGATGGTGAGGCCCATGCTGAAGCATTATTATGTCCCTATTTTTTTCACTATCCAATCTTGTTTCCTACCCTTCACACTCATAGACTTTGTTTCCAACAACACTCCTTAGTAATCTCCCTGCAAGCTCATATCCAGCTCAGACTCTGCTTCCTGGCAGCATTCAACCTCTGATAATGGATACCAAGGAGAGAGTACACCATGAGATCAGATTTCAGAGTTGGATCATTCAACACCAGCTGTAATGACCCCATCACTGGTGGTAGATGGGATACAAATAGCCTTGGAAGTGTGGTAACTGAAGTTTTTACTAGTTTCAGTGATGGTGAATTGGGACCATATAGTGTTGAAAGGGAATTCTGCCGTGGTGTGATATATAAGGTATTTGATAAATATGGGAAGAGTAGAAATTATGATGACAATGGGGCTGGATTTTTATTTTTGCTGATTTCAAATTTTGAAGACTACAATGTAAACATGGCAGCTATTATCCTTCAAATTAAGGCTAATCATGAAAGCCAGAGAGGACTTCTTCACAGCAAGAAAGAGATTCTCATCCTTTTCAGAGGCCAAAAAATTTCTGTATCGTTCTAAAAGTAAAACATTTCCGGTTCCACTTAAATTCCCAACCTAGTCTGATCTCTTACCAAGGTCAGGACGCTAGTTGAGAAAGAGCAGAATCCCATGAGGTCTTGTAAATAATAAATTATACATGACAATTTTGAAATCCCAGATTTGTCTGAACCCTCTGAGTCCTCGGAAGTGGCCCATTCCTCTCTGTTAAGGGAGAGCACTTCTCCATTGTTTGAGGATGGTGTAGGGTCTTCTTCGCACAGGACATCGTGTGCCCCTCTCAGGATCTGCTCTTATCTCCCTTCTTGGACATAGGCCAATAACCAGTGTTTAGTCACAGTCTAATACAGGCAGATATAAGTTGTTTTAACAAGGGAGGAAAGATGTTAAAACTCAAGGAGCTGAATGATCTAGCCAATATTTAACAACAAGAACTGAGAGATTCTATAGGGAACTGTACACTGAGGAACTGAATTATGAAAAATAGAACATAGAGTTCCATAAGGAAGCATAGTTTTATTTTGGAGAAGTCTCTCAGGACATAGGCTTTAATACCAGTGTTCAGACTCCAGGAGCTTGGAGTAACAGACTACTAGGATGTTGTTGAATAGTGGAAAAGTGATGGCCCATACAGAGTGAAACTGGTGGGCTGGAAGTGCCATGGCAAACAGTGGGAGAAACAATCAACAGGCTTAGCAGTGCATATGTTAAGATAGGTATGTAGATCTGGAAAATGCAAAAGGTGATTGTTTACTGAAGTTATAAGAAGTGCTCAGTGTCGCTGTCCTCTGAGAGACAGGCTTTTAGGTAGTTATAAAACTCAGCTTACTGATATTAATCATAATCAAATACAAAAATAAAAGAGACCAAATGATGGTGATCAATCATCAGAAATCAGGTGGTCACAACAGTCACAGAGAACAATAAGATCAGGTTTGCAGCCAGCAGGCCTAACTCATGAAAAGCTATGGATATGGTTATAGAACAGGCAGCCCTAGGGAAAAAGTAAGCCACGAAAAAAGGGCATTACACAACATATACTAGCTGCATGGAATCTCTGGCAAGCCTAATGGGAGAATGACAACACAGCAAGATGATGCTACATAGACTGAAGAATTACATGGATTTGGAAAAACAAATCCTGGCATGCTTCAGGGCCCTGTTACAGATGGAACACTTGATCATGAAACATTGTGTTAATGCTCCCCAGAGAACATCTACCAATAGGTGCTAAACAATAAAGTAGGCAAAATAACTCAGCCAGGTGACATCAGTCACCTCTATCATCAGCTATCCCAGTTCAGACCCCAAGAGCAAATTAGCAAAGTGGCCAAGTAACAGAGAGCCAAGCTATGTAGGGGCCCGAATGTATGTCCTCTTGTTTAACAAAGGTGATCTAACTACTGCTTAAACTAAATATCAAGAGTATCAAATCTGCTAGCAATAGAACCGAACACTGTGTCCCTGATACAGCATCACTGTTTGAGTAGAACAACTGGACACTTGGGGGCCAGTTTCCCAAATTGGATCCCTTCCATCTGGCTATATACTCTGACAGGATTAGCTACATATACTGGGAATCCTGTTATGTTTCTTATGTGCATAAATCAGATATGTAGATAAGAAAGAAAAGGTCACATTCCATTAACCTAGAATTTTAGCAGTTTGGACAGTTGAGAAATCTGAGAGATATAAAATTGATCTTAAAATCAAGATAGTTTAAGGCCAGATATGAAAATTGATTTTAGTAGGACAAAACAAATGCTTCTCTGAGAAGCTAAATTTACAGTAGAAAATAACGTGGGCTATTTTGAGATTCCAAACTATGCACATTCAATACCAAATATCTAGTTTCCTCAAATTCCACATTTTTTTTTCCCATTATGCAGTGATACCCCCAGTTTTTGATGGAGATTCTGTTCCTTGCAATGTAATCTGGAAACTGGCTATACTCAGAAAGCTGGAGTGATCTTAGGGTTAACCTTATCAATTTCCTGTCTCTTAGCTATGACACTCTTGTGATGCCTAACGTTCGATGTCTCAAGATAGTTGTTATATACAATTTGTCCAGTTTTCTAGTTGTTTATGGTAGAGGACTAAACCGACCACAGTTACTCCATGAGGACCAGAAATGGAAGTCAACATCTAACTCTGAAGCAGTTCAAACATCTTGGAATATTTTTTAATAGAAAAATTAAGGCAGAAAATGAACAAACTTGTAGCAAGAAAGGAATCTTCTTAATAGACAAGTTTAGTGACTAACTGAACTTGTATCTCAGAGAAACTACACCCTCTTGTTTTTCCAAATTATTAAAATAAAGACAATAAAATAAACGCCTTTTTCTTTCTAACAAAGAGCAAAATGACTAAAACGCTGGCCAGGAAGCACCCAATAACATTCAGAGACTGTTATTGACAATGATTGAATTTACTTGTCATGGGTCAAATGTCTTTAGCCCTTCTGTGGTTCATAACAAATATAATCCAGAAAAATGCTTGATTTAGGGGTCTTTTAAAGTAAGACAGTAGCATTATTTTAAAATAAGGAAAATGTACATAGAAAGAAATACATTGTTTTCTTCTTCTTCATTACATATAATTTTCAGATGGCACAAACTAAGACATATAAACATGAAAGAAGAAAAAGATGATTTTTTTCTTGAATGATTTTAGCACCTTTTCCTGATAGAGGAGGCAGTACTGTATATTAATAGAGAAACAAACTTTTTCTAACAGCAAAAAAATTATGTGAGCAAAAGCACAAAGTTGGAAAAGCAAACTAGGTGATTTGAAATGCTTCACTTGACTATTAGAGTAATAATTGTTTCACATTTTTAACCCAGTTTTAGGGTACTGTGCTATGATATGTCAGATGTGGGCTGGTCAGTAAGATACATAGTCATGGTCCTCTAGAGCTTTTCAGGTTATCTGACTAAGACAAAGAAATGAAAACCACAATATCATGTAGTGATGTGTGTGTATGTGTGTATGTGTGTGTGTGTGTAGTTGGACAGAGATAAATAGGGTGCTTTATTTTTTCTGAGTTTTATGCCTATTTTGTTGTCTCTAGTGTATGGAAAATCTTAGGTCAGTTATCTTTAAGTGTGAATACATCTTTCATTAAATGTGCTGGTTCCTTTGATTTTGGAGTTTATATTCTTTAATAACGTAAATAATTTTGCATATATGTCTCAATCAAAACAATTTCTTAAAGCATGGAATTGGAATTTTGCCAAATGCATCATCACTTTAGAAAGACAAGAAATGTTAAAAGATGACTAGTTAAGATAGTCCAATGACAATTTGACATTTAGAAGACATTCTTAAGCATAATTATTGGAAAGATCTTTAATGATCTTAATTGCAAAGAAAATATTAAGAAACTGTCCTGTATCTTATGGATTTTATTTTAGTTTATGTTTGAACAAAATAATTTTTACTGATAATTTTAATTAGGAAATATATCATCATATTTTTCAGTTTACAGATGTTATTTTACTCTAAAATTATCCTATAATTTTACGATGAACTCATACAAATCCCGTTGTTAAGTTTCCAGGCTGATACATCTTGTTAGTGTTGTATTTTAAATGAATTGGGCTGTGAGATGAAGACAATTTTGCTAGTCTAGATTTTAGATTAAAAATTTCTCGATCAATTGAGATATTTACATTTTTCTCATCATAGATCTCTCTTATCATAAAATGATTTTTGTGAAGAATTGTTAAAACTTTGTGAAATGGTTCCTAATTTTTCCCAATACTGGTAATCTTCATTTATAATTTTCTGTTTTTTCATTGATTACAGATATTTGTTACCTAATCTTAAAATGTAGAGGAAAAGATATTATTAATATCACCTCTGCTGAAGGACTCAATGTTTATGTATTAAAGTCATGAGAGAGAAGAAAGAAATGCCTTTGAGAAGATATAGAAAGTACAAGAAAAGATGATCTAAAGTTATTTATGTGAAACAATAGCTTCATATATGTCTGTCTTTCTAAAACACTTTCAGTACCACAGCCAATCTTAAAGAAGCTAGACATTTCTCTTGTTCCAGTATGGGAAGATATAAGTACACATATATTTTGAAAGAATAAACGTTCAAAGATGTTAAGCTCATAAGATAAACCGCATTTCAGAACGTGCACAATCAAAGGTGATGGACAGAGGGAGAACATCAAAGTAAAGGACCTTTAAAGCCATAGGAAAAATTACTTTAAGTTGTGAAACAAGTGACTTTCTCAAATAGCTCTATTTTGTTGTAAAAAGCAGCCACATATCATAATAAAATGTAAAATATAATATAAATTTTTGTAGGAGGTGATTTCTTCTTGAAACACAAAATTCTGGCCATTTCCTTTGAAGGAATTTGCAGGGATGAAGAGTGATTCTAAGGATGGATGTAGTACCATGAATCTCTCTAAACCTAACGGAAGCTGGACTCTAACACTCAAATATAGAAAATCTTCTATTTATAGATTCGATGAAACTATAGGAAGTGAAGCAAAATTAATTCAAATATCTCAAACATTTGCCAACAAATACTGTTAAACTAATTAGAGTGTTTATACTTCAATAATCAAGACAAGTTCCACCTTGAGATCCTTTCATTCATTTCTTTTTAGTTTGGTTTCTAATGCTCCAAGTGCCAACCATCCACCCTTCTGAACTCTACAATGAGCTCCCCGTGCACGCTCCTGAAGGTAAGAGTGAGAGAGATTTCTGGTAGACAAAGACTGTATGCAGAAAACGGGCCAGGGACTATGGACGAAAGAGAAACCAAAAACCTGAGCAGCAGTGCCACCTTCTGGAAAACAAAAGAGAGGTTTCACAAAGCAGGTCTTGTGAGTTTTAAGATCAATAGAATACATACAAATATCAGCTTTCTGCCACAAAAGGGAGCAAAAAGTTTGAAGCAGGTGCATCTATACAAGCTTGAGAAAGCCCCAGATCTAAGTAGGACAAATGAAAAGTATTTCCTACCTGTAGGCAGCTGTATAGATTTGAGGAGGAGACCAAAACTTCAAATGCAAAAACAGCAATACAAAACTCCAAGAAACATGAAGAATCAGGGAAACATGAGATCACTAAAAGATAACAATAATCCTCAAGTGCAAACCAAAGACTCAGAATTCTGTGATTTACCCAATAAGGGATTCAAAATGGTTGTTTTGAGGAAACTCAGTGAGCTACAAGAATGGACAGAAAGATAATTCAGTAAAATTAGGAAAGCAAAGCATGAACAAAAAAATAAATTTAATAAAAAGGCAGAAATCATAACAAAGAACCAAACAGAAACTCTGGAGCTTAAGAATTCTATAAATAAAATGAAAAATGCAATAGAATCAAAAGTAGAATAGACCAAACATAAGACGGAATAAGTGAGTTAGAGCAAATAAATTTTGAAATAACTCCACCTGAGAAGAAGAAAGAAAAAAAATAAAAAAGAGTGAAGAAAGAGGTTGTGATCCCTGGGACATCAAGAAAACAATATCTGAATCACCAGCGTTCCAGAAAGAGAAGAGGGAAAAGGAGGTAGAAAGTTTATTTTAAGAAATAATAGCCTAGACCTTCCCAAACCTCGGGAGAAATTTGGATATCCAAATTAACAAAGCTAACAGATCACTGCAATCCTGAAATTCAAAACAATCTACTCCATAACATATTTTAAAGAAACCATCAAAAATCAAGAACAAAGCAAGAATCCTAAAAGCATCAATGGAGAAGACAATTGTAATCTACAAAGGAAGTCTCATTAGGCTCTTGGCAGATTTGTCAGCAGAAACTTTACAGTCCAGGAGAGAGTGGAATGATATATTCAGAGTGGTGAAAGAAAAACATTGCCAGCCAACAATACTCTCACTGGAAAGTTATCCTTCAGAAATGAAGGGGAAATAAAGACTTCCCTAGACAAATAAAAGCTAAGGGCATTTATTACCCCAAACCTACCTTACAAAACATTCTGAAAGGATTTCTTTTGCTGAAATAGAAAGAGACTAATTATGTGCTGGCCTGGTGGTGTACTGGTTAAGTTGGTGTGCTCTGCTCCAGCTGCCTAGGGTTCATGAGTTCCAATCCTGGGAGTGCACCTACACACTGCTCATCAAGCCACACTGTGGTGGCATTGCACATGCGAAATAGAGGAGGATTGGCATAGGTGTTAGTTAGTGACAATCTTCCTATAACAAAAACCAGAAGACAGGCAGCAGATGTTATCTCAGGGCCAATCTTCCTCACCAAAAAAAAAAAAAAAAAAAACACAGAGAGAGAGAGAGAGAGAGAAAGATTAATTAGTAACATGAAATCAGTTGAAAATATACAACACTCTGGTAAATGTAAATATACAGTTAGATTTTGGAAAACGTCAATTCTGTAATATGATACTATGTTTACCATTTTACTATAGGATAATGTTAAAGGAAAAGAGAATTAAATAAAATACAGCTACTATAGTTTGTTAACAAGATACAATATAAAAAGAGAGAAATTGTGACATGAAAACATAAACGGGGGTCTAAAAGTATAGAGACTTGTATGCAATCAAAGTCAACCTGCTATCAGTTTAGAGGAACTATTTTATCTGTAAGATATTTTATGGAAGCCTCATAGTAACAACAAAACAGAAACCTCTGGTAGATTCAGAAAACATGAAGAGAAGGGAATCAGAGCACACCATCATGTAAACTCACCAATTCACAAAGATAGAACACAAGGAAAAAAGATTCAATGGAACTAAAAAACAGTGAGAAAGCAATTAATAAGATGGCATTATGACATTGCTAAGTCTCTATATATCGAAACATCCTCTAAATGTAAATGGATTGAATTATCCAGTCAAAGACACGGAGTGGGTGGATGGATTAAAAGCAAAATAAGACCTAGGTCTATCTGCTCACAAGCGATTCACTTTAGCTTTAAGGACACATGTGGGCTCAAAGTAAAGGGATGGAAAAGATATTCAATGCGAGTGGAAACTAAAAGAGAGCACGAGTAGCTATATATCAGACAAAATAGATTTTAAGCCAATAAGAGAAAAAGAAGGTCATTATATAGTGATAAAGGGGTTGGCTAACCCAGAAGATAAAACAATTGTAAATATATATGCCGGAACAACAGAGGACCTAAATATATTAAGTAAACACTGACAGATCTGAAGGAAGAAATGGACAACACAAAAATAGTAAGGGATTTCAATAGCCCACGTTCTGCTATGGATAGATCCTTCAGACTGAAAATCAACAAGAAAACGTTGAAATTGAACTATACATTAGACCAAATGGATCTAACAAACATATATAGAACATTCCATCCAATAGCAGCAGAATACACGTTCTTAAGTGAACATGAACATTCCCAGGATAGATCATATGATTGTCCACAAAACAAGTCTTAGCAATTTAAGAAGACTGAAATAGTTCCAACCATCTTTTCTCACTACAATGGTATGTTATAAGAAATCAGTAATAACACTTGTAAAGTTTCTCTTGGCATGGATGCAAACATGTTCACAGATTCTGAGGATTAGCACCTGGCTATATTCAACAGCCATTATTCTGTTTATAACAGTCCGTCCTCCAGGCCCCAAGATTCATGTCCATCACCCATGCAAAATATGTTCACTACACCCTAACATCCCTCAAAGTTTCCACCATTGAAACATCTAGTCAAAGTCCAAACATCAGCTCAAAAGTCCCTATTCCGGGGGCTGGGCCCATGACCAAGCAGATAAATTCACTTGCTCCACTTCGGCAGACCGGGGTTCATCTGTTTGGATTATGGGTGCAGATCTACATACTGTTTCAGGCCATGCTGTGGCAGCATCCCGCATAGAAGAACTGGAATGACCTACAACTAGGATATATGACTATGTACTGGGGCTTTGGGCAAGAAAAAAACAAAAAAAGGGGAAAATTGGCAACACATGTTAGCTCAGGGACAATCTGCCTCACCGAAAAGCATATGTTAAAAAAAAAAAGTCCCAAATCTCATCATCTATGTCATCTAGATAAGGTATAGGAGAGGCTCTTGGTATGACGCATTTTGGAGAGAAATTTCTTTTATGCGTAACTAAAGAATAATTTGTCTGCTCCCAAAATATGATAGTGATAGATCCAGGATAACAGTTATAGACATTTTGATTCAAAAGAGGAGAAAATTTTAAAAAACTTTGGCGTCCTGGGGTTTGTCAGTTTAGATCATGGATGTAGACCTAGCACAACTCATCAAGCCATGCTGTGGTGGCATCACACATAAAATAGAAGAAGATTTGCACAGATGTTAGCTCAGATGCAATCTTCCTCAAGTAAAAAAAGAGGAAGATTGGCAACAGATGTTAGCTCAGAGATAATCTTCCTCAAAACAAAGCCAAAAAACAGAGTTGATGGTTCAAGTCATTGCAAAATCCACCTGGGAAAATGCTACTAGATTTCAGGAACTGAGGATGATCATTTGTACTTCATGGCACTGTCCTCTGACCTTGTGACTCTCCCTTCTGGGCCATGTTGTCTTTTTCACGGAAGATAGCAAGTATTTGCAACCAAGTAGTTTTACTAGCCCATTTCCTGCATGCAGAAATTTGGACATCAGGCAGCTTTCTTTCATTTTCTACTGTCTTTTGGTTGAAGCTGAGAGTGTCTCTGTGGGCATAAAATCTTCAATAACTCTGTGGGTCTCCTGTGTAAGTCATGGAGAAACACTTCCTTAGGTAACAGGCTCATTCCTTCTCAGATAGATCTTTCTCAGCTAATCCTCTCTCTGTCGACTTTTACTGAGATGACTGAGGAGTATCTTCCCAGGTGTTGTCTGGATCTATTGAGATGTACCCTTTGATCTCTTCCAACAGTCTTTTGTGTGACTGAATACTCTAACCTTTTGATTTTTCTGGAGTGTTAGTAAAATGTTTCAAAGTCGCACCCTTGGTTTTTCCTCTAGAGCATGTTTTTCTCACAGTGAATTTCATAAGTTTCTTTAGCAATTTGGACAGACTGTGAATTTTACATATCTTCAAGCCCATTTTCCTTTTTGTTTTATAGTTCTTCCATCAATTTCTCTCTCTTTTCACACTTTACTATAAGCAGCAGAAGAAATCCCAGGTAGTCGCTTGAAATTTTGCTGGGAAATATCCTCAGGTAAACATATAAGTTCATCACTTGGAAATCCTGCTTACCATGTCATCATGGGACGCAATTCCCCAAAGCTTTCTCACTCTGTAGACCAAGAATTCCTTTTCCTTCAGTTTCCAATAAGATATTTATCATTACCTCGTGAGCCTTCACTGGCAGCAACGTTACTGCCTATATTTCTGTTTACAGTCTTTTTCGTGACTTAGGTATTCTCTAAAACAGTTTAGTTTTCTAAACCACAATCCGTGCTCCTACTTTTTTTGAAGGAAGTAAGGGATGCTTTGCTTATATTTTATTATCCATGGATATTTAGCTGAAGATTTATGTCTTTCTGTGTTATGTAGTCAATAACATAATGTCAGTGACTTAGGAGTAAGAAAACTCCTAACATGTAGTCTTCTTAGAGAAACAGAAAAAACTTAGTTTTTGTTACACAGTTGTAGGGAAACATTGTGTCCTAGAATATTGTGGACAAAAGCCATTGACTTGAGTCTAATGCTTTTTTGACACTAGATACCTAGTCACTTGTTTTCTGTGGTTTTGATGTAGGAAGAAGAAAAGCCCATAGAAACGTCAGAAATCATAATATTATCATTTACATGTCCACAAGAAAGAGGAGCTCACATTATAGTCAATTGACCATCATTAGCTAAAATGTGAAAATTATCAGCTTCTCCTATTAGATGACCTAATTTCACTTTATAATACAGAAATATTGAGTAGATCATGGCTTTAACTAGAGCTTGACTCTGTAATCATATCCATGGAATAAATTCCAAGGAATCCCAGAATTTTTTAAATGATTGGCCCCGAAATAACATCTGTTGCCAAAGTTTTTTTTTTTCTTCTTCATGGCCTCAAAGTCCCCAGTACATACTTGTAGGTCCTTCTAGTTCTGCTATGTGGGACGCCGCCTCAGCATGGCTTGGTGAGTCGTGCTAGATCTGCCTCCAGGATCCTAACAGGTGAAACCCTGGGCCACCGAAGCAGGGGATGCGAACTTAAACACTAGGCCATAGGGCTGGCCACTGGAATATTTTTCTTTATGGCAGGTTGCTATATGCTATATGCCAGGTCAGTTCTCCAATAACACTGTGATAAAAGTAGTGTAGATTGCTCAGAAGAAGTTCTGATCAGGCATGAACCTGGGCTGTAGCTCAAAGCAATGCAGGGCTGATCATATAGTTTTAGAAAAATTTTTACAAAAGGGGATTTACTTACTTTTTTCAAGGTTAGACTTGATTCTGCCTACTTTTTTCCCAAATTTATACTTGCCTATTCCTACCCACCTGAGAAAGTTGGAATTTTCTTAATCTGATTATTCAGAAACAATTACAGTGATTAAGTCAGATTCTGAATGGGCAAGCAAAGAGACATTAAATTTAGGAACCCATGTCACAACACTTCTGTTGCTGTTTCCAAATTGAAACCAGAAAAAGTAGTAGCTAGTTTTGGAAAGGATTTTGGTCTCTCTCTTCTGCTGTAGAACCAGAGTAAAAGAGGATTCATGATGGCCTGTGCAATCTTTCTCGGGAGATACTGTAAGTATGCTATACCCAAATTGTTCACTGTACTCAGTTGGGAAAAAGAGGGAATAAGAGAAGGGATCGGAGTTGGAGCTCATTTTATACCTAGAGTCACATCTTGTCAACTCAACATTTTACCAATTCTATACTGAGTAACAAGTGTTTGGAATGATAGCGTGACTCCATCTGATGCTGCTTCAGGTGCCACACCTTATTTAGAAAATGCAGTGGAATAAATCCTGGTTGATGAATGAATCTAGAAATTGTTTTATCCTTGCCCGTAATATCCAAATTTCATCCTTAATTTATATTCATATAACTTTCTGAAAGCAATGCAAAGCAAGCTTTCCAAGATTTAAGCAATGTATGAAAATAATGCAAAATGGAAACAGGGAGATCTTTGGCTACACATGTATTTTGAAATTTTATCTCCTCTTTTCAAAAGTAATTGATAAACATTATAAAGAGTTTAAAGTTTATCTAACTCTCTGTTGGATGTGGGGAAGGGCCACTGTGACCATGTTTGTATATTTTTCTGTTAGATTTTTGATGATTGATCACAATGAAAACACCAGAATACCATATTCTCCAAAGTTCTGCACAAATTCTTCCATTTCCTGTAAAGAAAAAGTTTGCTCATCCAGATAAGAAATGCGTTAGAGATATTTTTTTAAATTGGTGCCTACAATTGAAAATGGAGATAAATTGATAATAAATTGCTGCCTTCTAACTTTCCAAACGATTGGACACCTTCAGTTGAAATGGCTGATATAAAATCTCTATCCCTTTAAATATAGATAAACATGACTAGTGGAAAAGTCAGGGAAATGAACCAGATTTGATAAACCAGAATTGATAAAGATGAGTTCTAGGTGCTTAAAAGCAGGAACAAGAGATTGTCCAAATTCTGGCCCCTAGGTTCACTTGTATACCCTTCTATGTCTGATAGAATTATTATTACTGATTCATTTTTCTTCTGGGTAGACTTTCAGGATGCTTTTTACTGAGTAGTTCTTACCTATTTTTCCAAGTAACCAAAACCAGAGAGTTTACATCGCTTTGCTTTGCTTTAAGAAGAGAAGTAGCTTTGTTAAATCACTCTGATGCACATAAATAAGAACCTGATTCACAATGCTCTACCTTATGTTTCAAATTTCCACATTACTGGTACATGAAACACCTTGAATTTATGTCTGTTAAGAGTTCAATTCGCTAACTATTTCCTTATGACAAGACATCAATTTTCTTAAAGAGACATAAAATTTTGAAAATGATTTTTATGCAGGTGGAAGAGTTAAAAATGGATATGCTGTTTAATAACAGCTTCATATTTGGCAAACGTTTTTAACAACACAGCAGTTTGTTTCATTCAGATCACTAATGAGATAACAACTTGACCATATATCTCAAGGATGGTCTAATTATTACCTGGGAACTGAGACCTTTGCTTGTGGATGATTGACACATTTTGTCCATAGGTCATCAGGATGGTGGATTTTACTCCTTTGGTATCAATTACTGGGCAAATCATCTAGACAACTTTACCTGTGGACTAATATGAGTTTAGAAGACAAATTTAAAGGAAATCCACATCTTACTTCTCACTTAAGATCCACCTTTATAGTCAATGTAA